CATATATTTACTGGGAACTAGGCTAGTTTTGTTGGTTTTTGTCGTTTTATACAAAATACCATGTGCCCTGCACATGATGTTACCTAATCAATTAATATGTCAAGTTCTTTAAATCGGGCAAAGAACACGGCTAATTAAGGTCGAATTTCTCAAGTACATATGAATCAAGAATATGCTTGGAAGTAACTGCGTTGTCACGTAAAAAAAAATAATATCTATCTCATAGAAGCAAGCAGTTCGAAAGAAGGTCAATGTAGAATTAATGCCACAAATAGTAAGTTGTTCCGGTGCGTATCATGGATATGGGGATGGCAAGCATAAGATTGTTGTTAACCAAGTATAATTAATATGTTTCAGCTAGATGTTACCATAGGACATGATCAAACTATCCCAACTGTTTTAAAGAGTGACAAAGGAAAAAATCAAAAGGCACAAAAAAAGGGAGGGAGAAAGTTAATCACTGACCTTATAATACACGGTCCCGTTTCTATCGTGCAATCAGTCGCCATTTAGGCTCTAGGGCTGGCATGGGTCACCTGACCCTCAATTTTTGGGTAAATTCTTTTCTTTTTTTTTTTTCTTACTACCATTAATTTTTTTATGTTTTTGTCTCAAATTTCGAAGTTATTACGAGATACCAAACGAAATCAAAATATTATATTCTTAATATCATTTTGAGTACTCACGACCTAATTTTCTACGTCGTTGATGACGCACGAAACAGTCAATTGTAGCAAATGTTACTGCTTATCAAAATAAGCCGTTCCAAATTAATATTTTGAAAATTTCGATAACATGCATCTCTGACTATCGTACACTAGTCAAACCCACAAATCGCTTACATCATCTCAAATCTCGTTTCGAGAGCTACATTATAGACATGTCGAATTGTTCAAATAAACATCGAAAATAGTTAAAGGTGCATCAAACATGCGTATTAAAAAGAGACATCTAACTCGCCTTTTCATTAAAAAAAATTTAATTATTTCATTAACATTTATTATTTTTGCGTGATAGATTTCTCAATATAATTTATATAGTTTTATTATGAAACTTTGTATCTGAAAAAGTCACACCCTATGTAAATTCTCGAATGAAGAATTCATATATAAATTTGCATGGAGTATAACATTTTTTTTTTATGTAAATTTTCGAATGTAAAATTTGTCGCTACTTTTTTGTAAGTTTAATTATACTACCTAACTTAAATGGGAAAAATTCATAAATAAGGTGTTTAGTTTCCACCAATTCAAAAATCATGTTTATAGTTTGAAAATTCAAAAATCAGGTTTTTTTTTAAATGATAAATTATTAAATATTTAATTCTAATATAATATAATTAACCCACCCCACATACTCCACCCATACCACTCCGGGAACTATTCCGACGGCAATTCCGACCACCACTCTTCTCCGGCGATTGTTCCGACGATCGTTCCGACAATTATTCCGACGACTATTCCAGCGACAATTCCGGTCGCAGATTTATAACTTACGGTCACAGCTCAAAATTTTTGTATATCACAATTAATTCGTTGGTCACAGATCAAAATTTATAGGTCACACAGTCAAATATTTCCAAATTAGTTGATCACAGATTTTATTTTTTAGGTCACAGTTTCCAAATTAGTTGGTCACAGATTTTTTTTTTAGTTCATAGATTACCGAATGGTAGTCACGAATTTTTTTAGTCACAAATTAGAAAATTTTAAGGTCACAGATGGTGTCACACCAAATATTAGGTCACATACAGGGTCACATACACCAAATATTTGGTCACATACTGCTGCCACCGCCACTTGCGACCAAAAAATGGGATACAAAACCCCCCACACCTCACTGCCATCGTCACCACTTTCCTATCGCCGCCATCCACACCATCATTTTCAACCACCGCAACAACCCACCACCACCATCAATAACAATCGCCGCCACCTTCAAAACACCACCGCCAACCCACCACCACCATCACTAACAGACGCACGACCACCGCCACGAACCTCCCAACAACCACCTGCACCACTAAACAACCCGCACCCAACCATCGTACCCAAACCAACCACCTCCAATTGAAAACCCCTCATTCAAAGCACCGC